GGTAGGCGGGGTGCGTCGGGGTGGGCGGGGTGGCGTGGGGGCGTTGTGCAGGGGTGTCAGGAGTCAGGGAGGAGCGCGGGGCCGGGATGGGCCGGGACCCCGGGGGACAGGGGGTGAAGGAAAGGGCACTGGCTTGGTACGGCTGCACGGCTGGGGTTTTGAAGGCATCGCACGTTTGGAGCGTGCTCCTCAGCAGATGCACCAGCTGGATTGCTGGCAGCACAATTGCGCAGCCTGGCTGCAGCCTGGAGGCGTGATCATACACGTGTCAATCGCTACAGCAGTCGCTACAGCAGTTGCCCCGCCGACAGGCAGTCCTGCGTGTGCGCGGGCCGCTCGGGGGTGAAACTCACGGGCTCGGCAACTGTTGGTCGCGCTCTCCCTCCTTCCATAACCAGGCTGGTGGCCAGCAAGATCCAGCCTGTGGCCACCCTATACCACTGGGACCTGCCGCTCAGCCTGCAGGTAGGTTCCGCAATATCAACCGGAGCGCCAGATGTGGGGACACCTCTTTGTGATCCAGGATCGCTATCAAGGCCAGGGGTTGCACGGTTGCTTGACGGATTCAAGGGGCTTGCAGGGACCAGAGTGCAGGGAGCAGCCGGGGTATGGTGCGGCTGGCCAGCCAAGGGCGGCCCCAGGGAGGACGGCCTTCTCATCCTTTCTTTGCTACCTGCTCGCTGTCCCCTTTGAGGGCAGCAGTGACCCCAGACCAACAAGCGGCCAGCATCTCACCCTGCTCCCCCATCGCCTGAAAATGGCACCCCCCCCCAGCTGGAGGAGGACGGCTGGCTAAACGCCAAGGTGGCGGACCACTTTGTGAAGTACGCCAAGCTCTGCTTCAGCGCCTTTGGAGACAGGCGCGTGCTTGCGTGTGCCTACTTCTCTTGCACTGACGTCGTCAGACAATCTGCGGGCTGCGGCGTCGCGACGGTGGCCGGAGGTCGGCAGGGTTTAGAAGCAGACGGACTGTGCCGCCAGTGCACATCAGGGGCCAAACCAAACGGTGTTTGTTGCATGCCTACCCCCCTCCCTCTCCCTCAAGAGTGAAGCACTGGATCACCTTCAACGAGCCCTGGTGCGCAGCGGTGCTGGGCCACGACAGCGGCGGCCAGCACGCGCCGGGGCGGACGGTGGACCCCAGCCGGGAGGTGTACCGCGCCGCCCACCACATGCTGCTGGCGCACTCCAAGGCCTACGACGTGTACCAGTGCGTACAATCTTGGTTTGACAAGGGTTTGAACGGGGTTTGACCGTATTGGACCCAGCAGTTTGGGAGGCTTTAGACAGCAGTAGTGCTTGAGCATTTCTTGCACATGTGTGGGTTGTCGGCAATGCACACCCGCAAGCCGCATTCAAATGCGCAAAGCCGCCACACCTCCTGGCGCTCCAGGCCCGCTCAACGTCTCTCCCCCCCCCCCCATCCACTCATGTGCGCCTGGGCGGCGCCCCAAGGCGCCTCTTCAAGCGCAAGCAGCGCGGCAAGGTGGGCATCGCCCTCAACGGGGACTGGTACGAACCCAAGCCGGCCACAGACCCTGAGGAGGCGCGCCGCAACAAGCTGGCCGCGGAGCGCGCGCGGGAGTTCACGGTCGGCTGGTTTGCGCGGCCGCTATACCAGGTGGGCGGGGCTGCTGGGACCGTGGTGCTGGTTGGATCGCGCGGATGTCTTGAGCTGGGTGTCACTGTCATTGTCACGTGTTGCACGTTGCGCCGTGTATTTGCCGGAGCAGCTCGCTTTTTGAGCCCAGGCTCCTCAAGCGTGCTGCAGCAAAAAGTGTCCGCATGCAACCCTCGAGGACCGCAAACCCCTCGGCCGGGGTTCACGCGGCTCCACCCCCCAGGGTGACTACCCAGCAGTCATGCGCGAGCGCGTCGGCAACCGGCTGCCGCGGTTCACGCGGGAGCAGCGGGAGACGCTCAAGGGGTCGTGCGACTTCTTCGGCCTCAACCACTACTCATCACACCTCTGCGAGCAGCCCACCTGGTGGGCTTGGATCGATTTTCCTGATTTGAAGCCAGCTCGAGTGTCACCTTGCGCCATCACCTTTCTTGTGTGCTTTCCGCGCAGCGACACACACGCACGCATGCATGAGCGAGTGCGCCGCCCTCCACCACCTGCAGCACCCCCATGAACACTGCTGCATGGGGTACCGAATGGAAGCTGTATTTCCGGCCCCCAAAACGCCCCCATGGATTTTGATTGCTTACACGAGCATTATATCTACACTTCGGCAGGTTCAAGGACGTGGGCGCATCCAAGGACGGCCGCAACACGCTGGTGCGCGTGGCCAACCAGCTGGTGGCGGCCATGGGGCGCACCGACAGCCAGGGGGAGCTGGTGGCGGCTGAGGGGCCCGAGGCCGACACCAAGAAGGGTGCGCTTTGATGGATTTGGGAGATTGGGGGCTTGGGTGGTGTCTCAAGCATGCGGATGCGCACCCGGACGGGAGGATCTGCATTATCAGCAGCTTTGACACCAAAGCGACGCGGTGGTGTGCTGTGTTGGAGACGAAGACGGCAGGGCCGGCGGCAGCCGTGCCTGCACTGTTACGTGGGTGCCGTGCGGTCCAGGGGTAGGGGCGTGCGCTGTTGCAAGCATGCGACGTCACCTTCATCTCTGCACCTCCCTCGCATGCACACTGATCATGCATGCAAGGGAGTTATCGCACCATGAGTTTCCCACTAGCGTAGTATTGAAAACCCATTATGCACCAGTGCATGCGCACTGCTTGCAACTCCGAGGGCACACGTCACTCTCGACATCGAGGGCTGCAGCGGCGCTCCAAGGTTCATCACACACACACACACACACACGCACGCACGCATGCACACACGCACGCGCACACACACGCGTGCACAGACGTGTGCGCGCGCGTGCACGTACGCACGCGCGCGCGTGCGCCTGCACACACACACACACACGCACACACACACACACACACACACACACACACACACACACACACGCACACGCACACAC